CAGATAGAAGTTCTGGCGCAACACACGTGCGAAAATGTGGCAAAAATAGTCAGAATGGTTGCTCAGGCAGAGAAGGAACGGCAGACCGATTTGATCCGGAACCTATTCCGCATCTTTGACAGGCAGCTCGGCAAGTAGGATAATTCTGCACACTTGAAATCTGGTCGACGTCCGTCATGGGCTACCTCCAAATATGGTTACAAGAAATGTGAAGAGGAGAGCTCAGAGCTTTGCCGCAGTGGTACTAGCAGCAGTATTTAATCTGCTTCGTCCCGACCATCCTTGTTCCACACGTCTACGAATGGGATTCCTGGCGCTCTATCGACAGACTTCGCAGCTGCAGCTCTGGCTGATCATGCAGAACCGAGGGAACGGCGTGGCTACATCGCGCTCACAGATTCTTGGCGGTCGGCAGTTTCAGGTCGTGCATGGCATCAGCAGTCATAGCAAGTGCATTCTGCGGGTGTGTGCCCTCAAGCAATGTAGTTCTGGCATCTAAGGAGCTTGAAGACAAGTTCAACGATGAAACCGCTCAAGGCTTTGCATCCAACTGCCTTCAACTCGCATCCTTCCTCATGGCTCTGACAGTTGCAGCGTGAGGGCCGAAAGTCAATTTCAGAGCGCAGAATCAGAGTGGCATGGTACCTTAAAGTGTGTCCAACACGATGAACAAGGATAGGCAGCAGTTGAGCAGGATCCGGGACTTGTTACGCGAACAACGGAAACAGCTGAACTCCTTCAGAGGGCACAGGGTAGTCGCTAACAGCTTTAACTTTATATGCTTACTTGTGCATGAGATGGTCTTGAAAGGTAGAGGCCGTCTCCATACCTCTCCTTGTTTCATAGATGGCCCAGTCAGTCTCTCAAAACCGACAGGCGCTCTCAATCAAGTAGCTGGCCAGGCATGATGGGACTGCTGGAAATATACCCGGAGAGCGGCTGGTCACTCTTCAAGAAGCTGCTGGGCTCAAGGATTAAGAACTCCTAGCAACGCAGTGATCATGACTGCCTCGAAGAACCTTAGGCCTGAAGACCCATTCCGTAACCTTCCCTCAAGCCCCAAATACTGCGGCAAAGGAAGCAACTTGCGAGCCTGTGGTGACAAGTTTTAAAGTTTTACAGGAAGCGAAATGCGTGCAGATTGGCAATCAACGTGCTCGTTGAAGGTTGGATGAGAACAGGGACGGAAGGCTAAATGAAGAGCCTCGGCCGATCTGGTTCGGTTGTTTGATCATGCATGAAGGCCGTGCAGTCTTGCAGCACACGAGCTTTAGGATTTCGCTCCATCCATGGTTGGGCACGATAATGTTTTCAGGATCACAGAGGCTTCAGTGCAAAGCACAATAACAGCCCATCCATGTCAGAGCTCGCTTGGCATGATCAACAGAAGATTACTGCAGGCAAAGTGCATTCCGCCAGTATTCTGCATCAAAGATGAGGTCACGCCCATGTTTCCAATGCAAGAATGTCTATTCCCTGCTGCCCCAAGCCCCTTGAGTTGATCGACTCTCTGACTGCTAAGGATGAGTTCGTGAACGGCATCTTCAAACTAAAAGGTGTTGCCAAGTCTTGGGATGTTGCGTCTTCCATGCAATTAGGATTGCGTCAACGTCAAACACTGCAAGAACCCGTCCGTACGCACTGAATCGCTATTGAGAGAAGTCACGACAAGAAGAGTGGTGGTTGGAATGCCTGTGATATCGTACTCACAACCCATAATTGTGATGAATTCTTTACATTCTTTCTGAATTGCACAGGTTATGACAGAAACACTTCAAACGCGAGGCTTTCGCAGGAATCAGCTGACTCTGGCTTGCGCAACACTTGCATCCTGACAACTGAGGAAGAGATCTTGCAAGAGCTTTGGCTAGCATTTCGTTATTGTTGCATTCACCGGGAGCTGACGGCTTCATGGGGGAGGAAGGGCAATGGATTTTCGGCAACAAATGTGTGCATCTATATTCAGACTCTATGCAGAGTCAGGACAAGGTTGCATGATATTGAATGCCCATGAGAAGAGCGTCGCCTGCCCTGTGGCAAGCATCCACATTTGGTTCCAGTACTCGCCCCATCTCGCTTGGGCCGACGGTTGTCGCCCTGACTTCCTCACTCCTTTGCTGACCGAGGGACAGAAGCAGCTTACTCGAGCGATTGAATCGCAGCTGCGGTCCTCGAGTGGAAGAAGACCGTCTGGTGCCCAGTGCATGATCAGAACGGTGCGCGTTTCCATGGCCGCCACGCGCGACTGCACAAGGTCGAAGAACAAGATGATCCAGGAGTTAACGTGACACGGCGAAGTCGTACTAGTCTGAGGGCTTGACCGCAATAAGTCTGCATCTGCATCTTCACTGAATGCAAGTGACTCAACCTGTCGGGAGACAGTAATCAAGCCCTCTGGCTCCTTACTGGAGTGCAGATTTTTATGCTCAGTGCTTCGAACTCGGGCATGTGCAAGCCTGGGTAGCAGTTGAGTTCCTCGCGCGGAGCTCTTACAAAGTGAGAGTTCGAAGCCTGTTCTGCACTCTGTTGACAACATTAGTTGCGTACAATAATTGGTTCCGGCGGATTATGCTCTCCCTGTCATGCCACTCGAAGGGCCAGTCAAGGGACCTCAAAAGAGGTGCTCTTTGCTGAGCTTCCGGCCCTAGGCGGATGCTCTCACAGTCCTTTTCCGGCTGCAGGTGGCTCCGTGCATCGGCCTGATGTCCAGGGGAAAAGTGCTTTCTCCATGGGCTTCTTTGTTACTATGCCGGCACAAGAAGTACAGATGGGTTCACAATGGAGTGTAGTAGGAAGGGTCCCGTATTGGTCATGGGCCCAAAGGGGGCAGAGATGCGTCCGCACACTGCGGTACTCGATTCAACATTTCACCCCTTTAATTTAGATGATGGCTTAGACGATTTTTTGTAGGCATCCTGAGGAGATGCAGCCGCAGGCGGTAGTACAGCAAGTACATGGGTGTATTGGGGGTTATATAGGAGTATACAACAGGGATCATGTAGGGGTATATGGGGGTATGTAGGGGTTATATAGGGATCATGGAAACTAAGTTGGAAGCTACTATTTAGGGTGTTTAAACTTGATGTCCTTTCACGTTTCATGGCACAGGGCAATCTGGTGGATTCTTGAAAGCTGCCTGGGTATTTGGTAGTTTCCCAAAATAGGGGGGGACCCTCATATAGACCCCAAAGTGCTGTAATCCTTACTACCGGGACCCCCAAAATGGTATTGCTAATTTTGGGAAACCCATGTAGTAAACATGTTCTGACCCTCTCTTTTTTCAATGGCGCAGCCTTGCTAGGACGACTGGACAGGCCGATTTTGCGACCTGGTGAAGAAGGCAGGGCAATCTGCAAGGCAGCTTGTCTTACAGGTTGTTAGTAGAGAATACGGCGGGAATATAATCCCTATATATATAATGTTCCCTTATATATTCCCTACTAAGAACCAGCAAGTTTTTAACCCACAGACGGCTGGTGTCCCTGGAAGCGGACGTGTGGCAGGACCGGTCATGGAGAGTCGGGCCGCCAAGAAGAAAAAGTTTGACGAGCAGGCCCCTGTGCTTCAGTGAGCCCTGCTAGTCTGGAGAAGCACGCACCGTGAGACAGCAGATCGTGACAGCCTCAACAGGTTTTCGGCACCAAGTACTTCTGAAGCTTGTGTGAAGTAGATGGTTGCCCCACTGTTTCGGAAAGCGTGGAAAGATGCCATTGGTTTGTGTCGGCATGCTGCTGTTCGTGCCAGTTCATGCTGCAGCATGTCGTGGTGCCTGCTGGCACTTCCGTCAATTTCATCAGCCCATCTGGGCTCGAGTCGGCAAAGCGCAGGCACTGGCAGGCAAGCAGTAACGCAGCCATCCACGCGCACAGCATGCGCAGCATGGCGGAGCCATCACAGAGCATCTGATAGACATTTAGGACATCCTGCGACTTTTAGCTGTTGCGAGGGTGCCTTGCCATGACATCAAATCAGCGAGGCCACAGGATGTGTCTACCTCCTAACTTATTTGACATGAAAACAGCTGTTGAATGCAAATAGCTAGCATGAACTGACCCCAATTTCATTGAATACAGAACTTGCTTTTTATCGGCAGAGCTTGTGGTGTCTGCGTGACGACCCGGCCTTTGAGCCTAACTTCCCCACCCACCCTCTCAGTAGTACCAGAGCGTATCTGCCACTGAGAGCAGGATCTCCAAGTGACCACCTGAATCCTAGACCCTAGAGCCTTGAGTGTGGTTTCTGGACAATGTCTACCTGAACCCCCCACCCGAAACTATATCCTGAACCAGAAACAACCCAAAAACCCTAAACTCCCAACCCAAAACCTTGAACTCCCCACCCGAAACAACCCTAAACCCAGACCCCCCAAACCCCAAAGGCAGCTTCACTCGCTGGCCTCGACCTGGTACTCTGCTAACCTGCAGCTCAGAAGCATCAGCAAACTTGAAGCCACCTTGGGTTTAGGGTTCAGGGTTTAGGGTTTGGTGGTTTCCGTGAATAGGGTTTAGGGTTTAGGGAATAGGGTTACCCCAATATAGACCCCCAAAAAACTACAATCCTTATTAATTCTGGGGACGACCCCCAAATGGCACCCCGAATTTCAGGAAAGCTATGGCCTAAACTCATTAAAGGAAATCATATAGCGGAGTCATATAGGGGTTACTAAGGGGGATACTGGGAGTATTGACAATAACTCACCCGAGGGGCTTATCAAACTCCTCAGATATGAGAGGCAGCGTAATACAACATGTGTCAGACCTTGGCCAAGAACCCCCCCAAAAATATACATATATATATATATCCCCAATATAACCCCGATATAATCCCAATATAAACCCTATATATATATATGTATATATATAGTTGTATTCATTTATGTATACACAGATATGAGTGTTCAGAAAGCCATCCTCGCCAGAGGCTCCTATGACGGGACGACCAAATTCTGGTCCCTGTCCACTGGGCGGTGCTGGCGAAGCCTGACACAGGAGGGCCCCGTTATGTATCTCACGGTCTCATCCGATGGGAGGCCAGTGATGCACAGTGGCCTAAAGTGACCCACAGCTTCTTTTTAATCTCAGAGTTTCATCACCTGGTGCAGGTATCTTTTAACGGCCGCATATGATGGTGTTGCCGCATTGTGGTGCGCCCTCACCTCAACAAGTTGCATGGCCCATGACGCCCTCCAAATGTGCTCATGGTCCACACCATGCTCAGGTGGCCAAAGGAGAAGCCATCCGAACTTTGCGTGGACAACAGGGCGGCCTTTACACAGCAGTTTTTTCACCAAATGGTCAATCAGTCCTGTCGCTTGTCCGGAACACAGGGCAGTATGCCACAGGTCCAACCGAAACAAAACGGATCAGTGCTGCAGAGTCCAGCATGTGACAAGCTCAGGACCGCATCCGCAGATGGGGCTGCGTGCTTGTGGAGATGGAGGGCTGGCAAGGCTTGCCATGTCATTTTGCTATGATCAGAATGAAGGAGTCACCTGGCTCTCGTGCTTCCTCGTGCCAAAGTCGATGCTCGTGTGTGTTGCTTCTATTGACATCTGTTGATAGTGTGCTGCCAGCCATTATCCTCTTCTCTCTGCCCTGTGATTGCTAATGTTGTTAGCTTCTGGGTGTCATCGACTTGCATAGTTTCCTGGTCCAGGTGCAATGGCTTCTTGCTGGACATGAGGATAGTTACATGCGTCCCTGGGTAGTGCTTACGGAAAATCCTTCCTCGCAGTTGATTTGTACGATGCAGCAGTGCAAAGTGGACTCCAAGCACAACCTTTGCCTTACACCCGGAGACTTCAGTCAGCCCTCTAAACCGAGGTTCAGCAGCCTTCTCACCAGATGGCAGAACTATCGTCACGACGTCCTCAGACTGCTCCCTGCGAATTTGGCAGCTTTATGTTGACGAGTCCCGAGCTGCAAGACTGCAAGACTGCAAGATGCCTGCGGCTGCCCTGCCCTGGGCAAAAGTTTCGTGTGCATTGAGCCAAGGTGCTTTCACATTAGTTTTGAATGAAAGTTGGGAAGCTGAGGCTCCGTACCTCTTGAGAACGCTTGAGGGCCATTATGGTTGGGTGAGGAACCAAGCATTGACTTTAGGTTCTCGACTCCAATCTTTTCCCCGTAGCTGCTGAGGTCAACACAGCTGTCTTCTCGCCTGCTGGAGACCAGATCCTATCAGCAGCTGCTGACAAGACGGCCAGGCTTTGGTGTGCCTCCACAGGAAACCGGTGTTTGTAAGGTATGGGTCCGAAATCTGAACTTTGCCCGTCATGTGCCACTGTTGGCAGGAGACTGCCTCAAGACCTTTGCGGGCCACTGGGCCTATGTTCGATCGGCAGTTTTCAGCCCGCAGCAAACCTTCATCTTGACAGCCTCAGCTGACTGGACAGCAAAGCTCTGGAACTCGCAGACCGCCGCTTGCATCCGCACCTTCGCGGGTCATTTGCAGTGGGTAAACATGGCTTCCTTTGTCCATGGCCTCTCGAAGATTATCACGTGCTCAAGAGAGACTTGGCCTTCAAAAGCTATTGCCCAGCTTTTTTCCTCTTGGAGTAGTCTCCTCAAAGCTATCCAGTGTCTGATAAATCCATAAAGAGAAGCGTACGAGCTGGCCACCTAACCCGAGGACAACACCGCGCGTCTGTGGAACACCTTTACCGGCGACTGCTTGCGTGTGTTTTGCGGCCACAGCGATTTCGTAATGTTTGCTATCGTCCCTGCAGTGCTGAAAGACCGGAAGCGAAAGGCCAAAGCTCCTTTGCACAAAAAGATATCCGAAAACGCTTGTTTGGATTTGCCCTGTTGATGTCTTCTGAGTGCTTCTTGCAAGGTAGGCCAGCGGCGCTGGGTAGCCAAACCGTCAGCAGACTGGGAAAAAGCCTGTGCAGGCATCTTATTTGCTGGTAATGAAAGCAGGTGAGCTCACTTCCGCGCAGCTGGCGGGCCATTTGCGTATCAACATTGTCTTTGGCTCAGGTCCCAGGTATTCTTCGTAGGCGTAGTTGCTCACAGAATCGATGGCACGATCAGGACGAGTGCGAGGATCCCAAGACAGAATAGGAATATAGTCGGGTGGGCAGAAGTCCCTTGGCAAGTTGAAGTGGTCATTCAACATACTTGCATTGGTGGAATCCACGACTTACCTGTGTGGAAGCCAATACTTCAATACTCAGGCGCAGACGTGGCAAGCAAAAGCCCTTTGGAGCAATGGGGAACGGTGAAAAGCAACACTTCCATTGGCCGCCAGCAGCCTCTGTTCAAGGTGGAAGTGATGCATGTTTAAAGGGTGTAGGATAAGATAAGAGAAGTGATTGGTCATTCAAAGAAGCACAAATGTTAGCAAGACTAACGGCTCTTCTCAGGCACAAATACTGTGACCTCATGTTATGCACTGTGAGTGTTTACAAGAACGAAGGACTCTTGTTAATGGCAACCCCTGAATAAGGACCTGCAGACAAGCAAGCCTCAGACTACTTGACGCTACCTCCTCTAGGTGTACTCGACAGGGGACCCCAAAAAGATACTGTACCCCTAGTTTCGGGAAGCCCCCATTCAACAGGAGCTCAGGTGAAAGAGTTTTAAGTTAGAATCCACAGGCCGCGCCCTCTTGCTGCTACTTCTACGCTTACAGCCCGTATGACCTCAAAAACTGCGACGGCTGGGGCTGGTGATCAGGACGGACAAAGCATGCCAGCGGCAAATCCTCCCGGTCTCGAGCAGCCTGCGCTCGAGAGGTCGCGAGTGCAGCCTGCGCTCGAGCCCGGGAGGATTTGCCTCTGGCATGGACTTTGTGACGGAGTTCATCCTCAGGTTCTCCGATGTGAGGAAAGAGCCCAGCAGAAATTGCGGCGGTGCTCACGCGAGCGCAGCTGAGTACAATCAGACAGCCAAGATTTCAAGCATGTGTGCCCTGGAGCTGGGATAAAGAGTCCCTTGCAGAGAGGCCTCTCAGGACTTCCGCAAGTGAGGGCTTTGAAGCGTTGCTCCCATCAGAAAGCATTTGGCCGTGCAGGCCCGGGCGCGAAGCTCCTTCAGGCGCTTGCTTCGAAGCGGCTTAGGACTGCTGTTGCCTGAACTTGTCAACTTTGATCATGATGTGATGGTGTTTGGATTCAGAAGATGTGCGGCTCGCTCAGTGAGGACCAGATAGGACCAGCTGCGATTGCATTTTCGTGGCCCGCCTCTGAGCATGTCTGTCTGGGTGGCACGCGTCGGATAGCCTTCAGCTTGGGTTCTGGGGCCTGCTACGCCTATGATCATCTGGTTTCAAGACTGCATGGCCATGATAAACTTCTGACATGGCCCCTGGCCCATGAGCTGTGCACGCAACGTGCCTGTGAGCAACTATGGCTGCTAGCTGCCAGCATTAGAAACGAGCTTGAACTCAAAATTCGTGTTTTGCATCTTCCATACGTCAAACTCTCATGAACCGTACAGGTCCTGTCCGAAAGATCTTGGGGCCACATGTGGCCGTCAACTACACTCGCGCCTGCGCCCCAGATCCTACAGCCTAGACCCACTGTCTAGACTGCACCGTAAAACCAGCACCCTGAACTCGAAATCTCACGACATGACAGTTTCCATAGGGGTCCACGCCCCAGCCGGGCTGGGCCAGATCCGCAGGTGCCGGATGGCAGAGATGGAGAAGGCCTGGCAAAAGGCTACTTGTTGAGTTGTAGTTCTCAAGTCAGCTTCAGAGGTGTCAAGGTGATCGGTGAGTTGCTCTGAAGTGTGAGATTCGTCAGAACGAGGTTTGTACGCGCGTGCTCTTTCAAGACGCTTCATGCTGCGAATAGAGTAATGCAGCTTTTCTGGAATGCGTTGAGATGCAGGGGCTTGCTGTTAGTACAAAATTCTACGAACCATCTATCACTACATGGATGAGAGGCCTCATCCTACGGGCATGCATCTTTTGACAACAAGTCTTGCCGCAGGCGGATCCCACGTTCAAGGCCGGATTTGTGCTCCTGAGACGTGACCTTTGGCAGCAGAGACGGGGCCGGAACTCCGAGTTGTTACATCAGAATTGAAGCTATGGGTATGGGGCAGTTCTTGAAGGTAGGGTCGAAATACACTGGCGTAGGGTCGAACTGAGGGCTGCCTATGCTTGACCTTGTCAGTGTGACCATGACGAGTTCATCCTGTTTATCAGCTTTTGTTCAGCGCGTGGCGGCTGACGTGCAATGACATGCGCAGGCAGGCACATGGAATTGTTCCTGAAGGAAGGAGCCTCCTTCCGGGTCCAGTATGTATATATGTATATTTCTAAAGCACAAGCTCCCAAAAAATGACTCTGTAGCTCTGGGAAGCTGACACGCCAAGTGATGTTGAGGTCTGGCGAGACCGGATCGAGTCCCAATAGGCTGGAGAAATCTGCTGACTGACGGGGGCTTCGGGTGGTTCCTGGCAGACTACCTCAGTAGATCTCAGTATGTAGGCAGTGCTCAGGGTGAGGATCGCTCAGGGCATGTTGTTCTTGCAGTGCAGGTTGCCAGCACCAAACTCGAAGTGCAACTTCGAGAGAGCCTGACCTATGGACATGTATTGCATGCATCTTTTGAAGACAAGTCTTGCCGCAACCGAGTCCCACATTCAAAGCCAGAGTTGTGCTCTGATCAGTAGCCATGGGGCGCAACCTTCAGTGGTACCCGTACTGGAGCTATGGCGGCCATGGCGCCAACAACGGCGCCGGATACGAGAGTTTCCATGGCGGCTACACCTGGTATGACTACGGATACGGTGGCTGGGGCTGGGGAAACGAACAGCATTACGAGCCGGGACGGACAAAGCATGCCAGAGGCAAATCCTCCCGGACTCGAGTGCAGCCATCAATGGATTTCGTCACGGAGTTCATCCTGAGCCTTCCCGAGGTGAGAGGAAAGAGCCCCGCAGAAATTGCGGCTGTGCTCACGTGCGCGGCGTCGAAGATCGACGTCTATGAGGATTAGTTAAACTGAGTACAATCAGCCAGGCAAGATTTCAAGCATGCGTGCCCTGGAGCTGGGATAAAGGGTCTCTTGCAGGGATGCCTCTCAGAAGTTGTGGAAGTGAGGGTTCTGAAGCATTGCTCACAGCAGAAAGCATTTGGCCGTGCAGGCCTGGGCGCGAAGCTCCTGCAGCTGCGTGCTTCGAAGCAGCTTAGGACTGCTGTTGCCTGAACTTGTCAACTTTGATCATGATCTGACGGTGTTTGGATCCAGCAGATGCGCGGATCTCTCAGTGAGGACCAGCTCCAGCTGCAATTGCAATTTCGTGGTTGGCCTCTGAGCATGTCTGTCCGGGTGGCAGGTCTCCTGCTGCACCGTCGGATAGCCTTCAGCTTGGGTTCTGGGGCCTGCTACGCCGTGCTACGGCCACGCTACAAGTTGGTCAGCTGGTTTTAAGATTGCATAGCCATGATAACTTCTCACATGGCCGCTAGCCCATAAGCTGCGCATGTAACGCGACTATGAGTAATTATGGCTGCTAGCTGCCAGCATCAGCAACGAGCTTGAACTCAAAAACAGTGTTCTTGATCTTCCGGTTTTTTTGTTTGCATCTTCCATGCGTCAAACTCTCATGAACCGTACAAGTCCCGTCCGAAAGATCTTGGGGCCACATGGGGGCCGTGAACTGCGCTTTGGAGTACACCCTATACTCAGACTCTAGACCTACTGTCTAGAGTCTAGACTCAACACCCTGAACTCAAAGCTTCCATGTTTCCATGAGGTTACGCGCCAACAGCCCTGGGCATGGGCCAGATCCGGCGGCACAGCGCGGCGGAGATGGAGAAGACCTGGCAAAAGGCTGCTTGTTGAGGCATAGTTCGCGAGTCAGCTGTGGGGATTTCAAGGTGAGCGGTGAGTGCTTTAAGGTGTGAGATTTATGAGAACAAGAGGCTCAAGGTTGGTATGTGCAAAGACGCTTCATGCTTCGAACGGATTAGGCTGTCTTGAATCAGTTGAGATGCAGGGGCTTGTTTCCAGCACAAAATTCTACCAAGCATGTGCTTGCATGAGAGACCTCGGCATAAAGCCTTTAAAGGGGAAAATAGCCTCTACAGGCTTTTCTTTTGGGGGGCATCATAGTAGTTGTGGGGAGAGTAGCATGTAACTATAGAAACATACCATGGAGTGAACTGACGGCAGCTTATGAGACACCGACAGCATTCGAACCCTCCCTTCGAGTAAAGTGAACATTTGTTTGCAGAAGCTCGCATGTTTGGGATTCTTAAAAATGACTTTATGGTCCTTACGAGGAGCCCCATGATCCTTTCAAAATCCCCAAGATCCTGGGCTCCCTGAGGTCCCTGCGTGATTTGGCAAACCTCTGTGCCAGTGAAAATCTACGTCGTTTGCTCATGACCCCTAGAACTGCAAGGCTATCCAGGCCTGGCATTTGCTTAGCTATGCTGTCTGTCGGCTTGGCCTTCAGAGCGTGCTTGTATGAGTAGTCCCGACATGTTCCGACTATCGACATGTGACTCCCTGAGACCAAGCAAAGCAAATATTGTGGAAGAGTGTGACAAGTCCCGCGTTCTCAAAAAAAGGCTTGGTCCAGCTTTGCTACGCCGATGACATGACAGCTTCGCTGCGGTTCTACGGAGGAAAAATTATCGTAAATAATTCACGTGGTCCGTGTTGCCAAGACACGGTCAGCATTCAATGGATTTGTTTTGTCATGTAGCATTGGTACTTGTAGCTGCTCTCGCAGACTGCAAGATTAAAGGATATCTCTGTGGCGCCTCTAAGTCGGCTGGTGCATGGCTGTGGATTCCCATTCTTTGTCAGTGCTTGGAATTTGTACTGCACAACGTCTTGATGTTTTTATTCCTGGCATACTCTCCTGCCAGTGCTAGATTCATGAAGCACCCTAATCCATGCCTGGCTTTTCAGCCCAGAGGCTACGCCCCACAGACTCCTCCATCGCATCGGACAAGCATGGTGAGCAAAAATTCATGTTGTCTGGGCTCAATCAAAGCTCATCGATTGGATGCGTTGATTGAGCAGGATTGATCTAGCGTTGAGGTATCAGGCCATGGTTTCAGGGACTCGATGGCAGGACTTGGTTGCCGTGGACCTTGCTGAGGCGGTTCTACATGGACTTGGAGGGTAGTGGTCACATCAGCAGGTCAAGAGTCGTGACCTGCAGAATTTTCCTAGTTTCCAGCAGCATCGCACACATATCGGATTCATGATTCCGCGATTTCGGTTGCTCGTGGCTCCGAAGCCACCAGTGGCGCCATTGTAGTTAGTTGCAGAGTTGCCTGCAGACCTTACCAGCCAACAATTGTGCTGTAAACCGTAAGCAATTAAGCATCTGATCCATATCTTTGGCAACGTGCGCACCCCGCCTTCTGCTACAGAATCCTACAACGCAAACTTCATCAAGCATTGACTGCCAACCAGGGTCACGGGGACCTAAACCGCAAAGCATGCCAGGAGTAGTGACGACACGACTCACATGCAAGCTTCGTCAGCGGTAGAGGTTGACAGTGAGGGAAAGTGTTTGCCTTTCATGGCGCCAGCGCGACTTAGCAGCAGACGAAAGCTGAATCCATGCGGAGACTGCCTCCATTCAACGTTCTGGCACGGCTCGCCCAGTGGATTTTGATTGGAGCAACCTGCGCCCGTGCGGCTGATACCCTTGATATGGAGAAAATGGCTTTGGTAGATGCTGTCACTGACACAGTTATTGCCGAGTTTGATCCCCTCGTTAGTGGGACAACCTTGTACCTGGACGAACTCCCCGCGCAGATCAACGTGGCCGCCTTCACCGTTCACAGCGTTGGGAGCGTGCGCTTTGAGGTCAACTCAATGCATTTCAGAACCGAGACCAATGCACCGTATGCACTCGCCGGAGACAGTGCTGGCAACTATCATAATTGGGGGCCAGCGGTGGGGACATACTTGATTAGTGCGCAGGCCTTCTCAAGCTCTGGCGGCAACGGCGACTCTGGGACACCATATATGATCGTGGTTTATGTTGTTGCTACTCGCCCAGCAACAACGACAACGCTCACCACAACCTCGTCAATGACCACCCGCTCGTCAACCTCCACATCATCATCACGCTCCACCAGTACCACTGGAAGCAGCTCGAGTTCAACAACATCACGTTCCACTAGCAGCTCGACGCTGACAACGACCTCAACCGTCACGTCGTCTTCGACGACATCAACCTCTTTGAGCCAGTCATCCTCGAGCACCACCAGCTCTTCAAACACGATGACTACGATGAGCTCAACAACATCATCTGTCTCATCTACGACAAGCATCTCATCAACAACCCCAATCACAGTCTCATCCTCAACCATAACCTCAACATCAACCTCCCGTACACACTCATCCTCAACTTCAACAGGAACCTCAACGTCCACATCGATCTCCAGCACGCTCTCATCCTCCACATCCACCTCAACATCCACCTCAACATCCACCTCAGCATCCACCTCAACATCCACTTCGGCATCCACCACTAGTTCCGTGTCAACAAGCTCAACATCAACCACAAGCTCATCCTCGACAACCAGCTCAACATCCACATCTTCACTCACCTCCCTATCCACGACTGTCTCAACGAGCAGTGCGACTGAATCGTCTTCATCGACCACATCAACCACGTCCAGAACAAGCTCGTCAACCACTTCGCTCCCCTGCAGCAAACTCTTAACCTCGACTACCAGCTCTCACAGCACCATCTCCTCCAGTGGCTGGAATACTTCCATGGAGGTGCCAAGGGTGGTACTTCCTGACAGCATGGTTGGGAGTCCCCACGGGCAGATCTTATCCCAGTCGCTGGAGGCTGCCGCACAATTCTTGTGCGAGACTGGCAGTGTCCATGGCACGACCACGGCAGTTGGAGAGGTGACGATCGTGAAGCTGACTGCGCAGACAGAACCGACAGTTCTAGAATTTAACACAAGCGAAGACAGCTCGCCTATCAAGGTGGTACTTCCACCGTCGTTGTTACAAGATTTGCTTCAGGGTGGCAATGCTATGATGGTGTTTACAGAGGTGACAGCCGAGCTGACCCCAGCCTTCACATCACAGTGGACCACCGGCGAAACAGTCCTTCTGCAGTCCCGAGCAGTGGAGCTGTCCTTTGTCAACGAAAACGCTGGAGTCATTACTCTTGTCAACGTTTCTGGGAGTGAAGGCATCCTGTTCTCTTTTGCCTCCCGTCTTCCGCTTCGCGATGAGAGGCTGAGCTTCTTGAGCCTGTCAGCTTTTGGTAGCCCAACCTATAAGCCTGAAACCCTGAACTGTAGCTGCCCCATGTAAGCTGCGCCCGTTTGCATTTGTCTGGCACATGCAGATCCTTCATATTTAACGTTTCGGCCCCCAGGTGTGGATTCTTCAACCCGGATCTTGGTGCTTGGTCCGAGGAGGGAACAGAGCTCTTAGCACACTACGAGGCCGAGCAGATGGGGTGGAAAATGGCCTCTCTTAGCACCACTTTATTAATTGCAGCGGGTGCCTCTTGAAGGGAACTAGGGTTCCGACAGATATCAAATGTGGCTCCATGCTGCATCTAGGAGCCGAGCAATTTGAAGCCCTTCGTAAGCCTTTCTGAATTGGCGTTTTGCTTTTGCCACTTTTGCCAGGTGGATGGCGAGAGCTTCAACCGTTCGTGGTGCCGCACCACGCACACATCCTTGTTTGCGCTCCTTCAGACGCTGCCTTTGGACCGGGCAATCGAGGGAGGAGTGCTTATCGATGTAGAAGGCTACGCCACGGGCGCGGTTCTATGTATTGCTTTCGCTGCTCTTTGTTGCCTGCTGCTTTGCATTGTGGTGCTCCGGCGAGTGCGGGCGCCTACCTCTGGGCACGTGCGATTGGTAACAAAGAAGCATGGGCGCGGTGGCCATGAGAAGGTGCGTACGCTCTCCTTCGAGCTTCGCGAGCTACCTGTTGAGGTGGATCCCGAATTCGCTGAAGGCCGACCAGGCGCTGTCACACCAAAGATCCACGTAAGGTGGGAGGAGGACCAAAGCATCCTGGAAGATCTGCACCACCTGCGGCGGGGGCGCCGTCAGGTTGTCATGAACCTTAACATCGGCTCACCGCACCGCAAGGCCCCTGTAGCAGTTGAGCTGTTGTACTTTCGGTTTTTCAGTATGCGAAGCCCCGAAGCAACCTTCTTATAGAGTCAACCAAGCCCCTCTTCTAATTAAGCTCTCACAGGTGAAACGGGTGGATTCGGCTGGCTCAAACCGAGACCCTTCTTTGGACGCTCTGCAAAATCTTCGGTTTGCTGCAGACTTGGAGAGAGAAGGTAGGAGTTTTGAAAGCATTGTTCAAACCCCGAACCTCAAGCGACCCGCAACATCCCAGAAGCCTTGCAGACACAGCAGTCGGGTTGCAGAAGACTAGGTGATGCTGTGGATGGCAAGCGCACTGAGACCGACCTGAAGGAGCAGACTTGTGAGGCCGGCGAAGTTGTGGTTGCAAGTCTGGATGACGCCCTCCATCCATTTGAAACTGATGACGTCGTCTCCGTGGGCGTAGATGACCTATACTTCCTGGAGACCGACTCCGTTGTGTCTGCCGGGTTGGATGGCTTTGTGCTGCACGTGCCTCCTTCTGAGGCTTATTTGGCAGGTGACCAGGTCCTGTACTTTTCTTCTACCCTGGCGTGCATGGTGCCGGCTAGAATTGCGGGGCCAGGTGGGTTCTGCTTAAAGTTCTGGCCCATTTACTGTGCAAAACTGCCAGTATTCAAAATTGAACCCTACCCTCCGGCCAAACCCTGGAACGGTTTCAGAGTCATGCCTGAACCCACCCTAAGAAATCCGAAGTCAAGGCCTTGAACCCCCTAAACCCTAAAGCCCTAAACCCGTCTTTTCGCGTCTTCAGGCGACTTCCCAAGCGATGACCCAAACGAGTTGCCCTCCTATGCCTGCCGCGTCGGAGTCCGAAACCAGCTAAGGGAGGCTAGTCAAGAACCATTGGGGTTTAGGGTCTAGGGTTTAGGGTTTAGGGTCTAGGGTTTAGGGTTTAGGGTTTAGGGTAGATATTGGGGTTATAATGGAAAAGTGGAAACTATAGGGATTATAGGGTATATATTGGGGTAATTTTACGGTTATCCTCGGGGTATAATATATTGGGGTTGTATAGGGATGATGGAAAAGATAATGGAAACTACTATAAGTAGGGAATCCAGGCGTCAAGAGCACTTGGGGTTTGCAAGTGTAGCTCATAGACAGATACGTTCCCAACAGAGGTGGAACCAGAAAGCCATTGCATAGGTGCAGCCGTAGGCTTCATCCTGTCAAACCCGGGAATTAAATCTAAATGAATACCAAATGAGTTTACATAAAGTTTCCATAAATTAGGAGCCACTTTTTGATACTTTTCGAAGCCCAAGAATCAGGCGCGCGGTAGATTGGGGTCTACGTTTGGCCCTCCCTCGTGACGGAAATCTGCAAAAAAAAAAAAAACGTTATGTATATATATATATAATCCCAAGTTCCATTTCATTCTCCATTTCGTAATCTAACCCCGAATCCCAATATTGGAGCCCCCGTTTATGGAAACTCCCGAATGGGCGCAGGCTGTGCCTATGCGAGCGTTGCGGCCGCCCCTCGAGCCTGGAGAGTGCGTAGAGGTCTACTCAGAGAAGGCTAGGGTTTAGGGTTTAGGGTATAGGGCTTAGGGCCCCCTGACATAAAATCAGAACCCTCAATTTCGCTATGGGAATACCTTGTTGAATATAAGGGGTTTGGCGGGGCCTCAGTAGTATAGAGGTTGGGGATATGCATAGTCAAGAAGTGTATGACTGGGACCTTTCCCTCGTACAAGAAGTTGACAAAACTAGATGCTCCCACCCACCCAAGTGCAACTGCCCGCAAGAGCAGGCCTGGGCCCCTGCAGTGGTACAGACCACGCCCCCGGTACGCCGTCCGCCGCACCTGTGGACTTTCCGAGTCAGGCTGGGCTTTTGAAGCGGGATTTTGAGGAGGGGTTCCAGAGATTTGCGGCGGTGTGCTTCTTTCCGGGATGAAAGGGAGACTCGGCTTGCCCTTGGTGATCCGCACGCGCTATCATTCCAAGATTTGTTCACAGAAAGAAGCCCACAGGCTGGAGGAAGATCAGGGCCAGGAGCTGGAGGTGCCTCTCAACCTGCTTCGACGGCGCTTCGTAGCGGGCGCGCAGGTGGTGGTGCAAGAAGACAGGGTTTCATGATAGAGGGCTGTGGCAGGGAGTGACTACATAGTGTTTTGTCATGGGCGTGCCTGTATATCAGGATACGTTAGCCCTAAACCATAAACTGAGACAGTCAAGTCAGTTGCAGTAGAGATTCCCGATAGGTGGAAGCGTATCTGGGTCGCGGAGCCGGCTGGGTCCCCGCAAAAGTCAGCCACACTGCAGTTGAAATCCCACTTGCCTCCACATGGTCACAGAGGTCGGAAGGTTCCATGACAGCCGTTCCATCCCTGTTGGACATGGATCAGCAACTTTCTAGCCTGGACACCAGAGTTCGGATTTTCCTCGAGTCCTCCCAGCAAGAGGCGGAGCTACCAACCTCCCAGTTGCGAAGCTGTCATCAGTCAAAGCTGTAGACGGACAGATTCGTGCCAGCCACGAAGGATTGCGCGGCGGGAGGTTTTCTTTGCAGTCGCAACCATCACGTTAATGATTGAATTCGATTGCCAGGAGCTCGGCCCTCCAGAGGAGGGTCGAGCCGAGCTAAGCTTTTGGCATTGTTTTTGGCTTCTTGAACTCTGTACAGCGCCTTTTGGTGAGCTTCTCTTTCTTGCGGACTCCGCAGGCTTTCAGGAGCCTGCCCTCCGCAAATACAGTGTTATGTTTACAGATTCTTGTTGGGCTGATCTATCCCAAGCCTGAGCATTGATGTCCGACTGCTGTGCAGTACAATTAGAGCTCTGCATGCCAGACAATACGGCTTTAAGCTGGAAACAACACGCTCCCTTTCACATCTTCGATGACATTCAGTGACTTTTAGACTTCTCAAATTGCTGTTTGGTAATATATGGATAACGTCAAGAAAAATGGAAACTAGTATGGGGTTATATAGGGGGAATGGAAAATAACATGGAAATTAGTATAGCTGCCTGTTTGGGAATGGGAGCTGGCTTCTGATGGGATATGATTCATTTTGATAGAAATAAGGGATTTGATGAGCAGAATTAAAGGCGGAGGGTTTTGGTTGAAATATGTCTTATATCTGGGATGACGTATATTTTCCAATAAGTGGAATTCGAGAATAATATACATTAGACGATTGTGTCTTGGTATGCCGCGAAGAGCAAAAAAGAAACGCGATTTTGATGTAAATTCACTTGGATGTATGGTTGCGCAAATAGAAGGATACGGCATGCTGGCTGATTATATTAATTACTAGAAGGGAAAAATAGATAATTATACGTAATAATCCGTATAGATCTATTCTTCAGAAAATAATATTCATATATTATATATATATAATAGAATTTCTATAAAATCATATTTTTGTTGGATAGATTTCATATATTTTTATAATTTAGAGATGATTGATAAAATCTTTCATTAATTTGGATTTAATTGATCGATTTTTCGCATAGAAGGAATATATTAGGGATATTTTGATTAAGGATTGATCGTATATATTTAGGTAATGAATATATGAATGAGATTTTCTTCATATATCTTCTTTTTAATTCTTTATATGTCTTATAGATAGAAAAATTGAAGAATAGGATTGGATTAATTTAGATTTATTGGGAGAATATCTAGAATGAATAATTTCATGATTTTCGATTTCTATTAATGATGAATGTAATTCGATTATTTTATATATATATATTAATTTTATTTATTTGATTTTTCTATTATATTTCATTTATTTAGAAATTATTCTTGATAAATTATATCTTAGTATATTTATATATATTTCTTTCGCATAAATATTCTTGTATGTTCTATATCGTACTTTCGTTTGGAATACTTTTAAATTTTTTCTTATTAAATATAATAAAGATGTCGTGCTTGTTTGGAATATTCGGAAATTTTGGGTCATTTATAGATGATGATATTGAAATATTCTATATCAATTCTATATCTAATAGATCTTGATATATTTTATTTGAAGGATTATTTTATTTCTAAAGGATGGAATCTAATAGAAACCTCCGATAATATATTGATATAGGATTCGTCGATTTCGTTATCTAAAATTTGATCATTAAATAGATAGTTCTTATATTAATTCTATATGAGATCATTTTATTCAAACTCATCTATTTCATTCAAATTTTGAAAATAATTCCTCTATTATGAAGAATATTCTGGTAATTTTGAAGATTATTGCGATCGCGCGCGAAATAGCCTATTTTTTTGGAAATTAATCGCATTCTTGAAAATTTTCAAGAATTTTGGAAGAAAATCGTCTTTTCTTGCGGAATATCTTGAAAATTTTGATGAAAATTATATTCTCCTACGAAACATTTTCAAAATTTCATGAATTCTTCATCAAATTATGCGTTCCTATGCGGAATATCTTCAAAAGATCATCAATATTTCATCTAAAATTGCGCGCTCATATGGAATATCTTGATAAATTTGGACGATTTGATATTATGAATAGATATATATAGATATCTATCGGAAATATCTTTCAAAGATTTTTTTCAGAGGATCTCAAATATGAAAGATTATATTCATAAGATTTTTCGAGGATCAAATCTCCAAATCTGAAATAATAATTAATTTCATAAGATATTTTCCAACGAATCAAGTCCCCAATTCCCAAATTATGAGAAAAGATCTTATAAGAATTTTCAAGGAAAAATCATCAAATCTCGAATTTAAAAAGATATCTTTGAAAATTTATTTGAGAATCATATTCCATTCTCAAATCTCAAATTATGAGAGATATTTCTCTAAGATTTATCGAAAATCATCTCTCCAAATTTCCCAAAATTTATCCAATAGATCCCTAGAGATTTGCCAAGAAGGACCGCCGCAAAATATGCATAAGAGCCGGCTCTATCTATAATTCGCAATGAATTCAAAAATTGCGTCCGAACCCCGCCCAAAATCCCCAATGATCCCTTGAGATCTTCTTCCAGAGGCCGCCGCGAACCACGGACCAGAACCGCTTCCGCCCATAATTCGCGGCGGAATCAAAAACCGCGCCCGAATCCCGCTCAAAGCCCCCCAAAAGATCTGCCAGCAAGAACCGCCGCGAATCATTGATAAGAGTGGATTCTATCTATGATTTAGAGCAAGCCTCCGAAAAATCCCAAATGGGGTCCTTGAGACCTGCCGGCGAATAAATTATAAAGAATATCTTCCTAAGATTTTCCAGAGAAATATCTCTCCAAATCTGATATGGTCAAGAGAATTCCACCTAATATTCTTGAAAGAATTATTTTCCCAAATCTCAGATCATAAGGGATATCTTTCTATGATTTATCTCGGAGAATCAAATCTCCCAATCTTAGATCGCAAGTAATATCTCCCTACGATCTGATTCAGAGAATCAAATCTCAAATCATAAGGGATATCTTCTAAAATTTATCTCAAAGATTCAAATTTCCGATTCTCGAATCGCAAATAATATCTTTCGAAGATTTGATTTAGAAAAATAAATTCCCAAATCTCAAATTATAAGATAATCATCCCTATCATTTTTCTCAGAGAATCAAATCCCCAAATCTCAAATGACAAGAAACGATCTTCTACGATTTATTTCAGAGAATCAGATCTCCAAATCTCAGATAATAAGAGATATCTTTCCAAGATTTTTCAGAAAAAATGATAAATCGCAAATTATGAATAATCTCTTCCTAAGATTTTTCAGAGAATTAAATTCTCAAATTCAAATTCTAAATGATATCTGCTTAAAATATTTCAGAGAATCAATTTATCAAATCTCAAATCATAAGAGAGATCGCTCTAAGATAAAATCATAAGAGATATCTCTTGATTTATCTCAAGGAATCTCCAAATCTCAAATCATAAGAGATATCTTCTAAGATTTATCTCAAGAATTCCAATTCCCGAATCTCATATTTCAAAGAAATATCTCCAAAGATTTTTCAATAAAAAATCATCAAATCTTAGAATGCGAATAATATCTTCTTAAGATTATTCGGAGAATCAATTTCTTAAATCTCAAATCGTAAGATAATCTCTATAATTTTTCTCAGAGAATCAAATCTCCAAATCTCAAGGAATATCCTTTTACGAATTATTTAAACATCAATTCCCCAATTATAAGAGATATATCTATAAAATATATTTGAGAATCAAATCTCCAAAATTCAAATTATAAGAAATATCTAAGATTTTTTCAGATAATCATCTCGCCAAATCTCAGATCATAAAAATTAATTTTCTACGATTTATCTTGGAGAATCAAATCTCAAATCATAAATATTATTCCCTCTTGATTTGATTCAAAGAATCAAATTCCCAAATCTCAAATCACAAGAGAAATTCTCCTAAGATTTATCTCAGAGATTCAAATTGCCGAATCTCAAATCCCAAAATAATCATCCCTATCATTTTTCTCAGAGAATCAAATTCCGAAATTTCAAATATCAAGAAACGATCAAACGACCTCCTAGGATTTTTTTCAGAGAATCAAATTTCCAAATATCAAATAATAAGAAATATCCGCCCTAAGATTTTTCAGAAAAATATCTTTCCCTAATATTTTTCAAAGAATTAAATTCCAAAATTTGAATTCCGCACGATCTCTCTGAGAAATATTCAGAGAATCAAATCTCCAAATCTCAAATCATATTTTAATTATCATATTCTAATTAATAATTAATATTAATTAATTATTCTATATCATTCTTATTTTCTTTCTATCTATTCATCGACCTTTAATTCTCTTTATCCAATTTTCTTTTTAATTCCTTTATAAATTTCCTATTAAAATATATTTATCTATTTCATTTTATATATCAAATTCTTTATTTATATATATCTATTTATTTTTCTGGTTATTTTATTTTCTTTTCTCAAATTTTCAAATATTATAGATATCAATCTCATAAAAAATATCCTCTTTCAATGACGAAATTCATCCCTCTCTCATGGGAATCAAAATACCAACGAAATCTAATTAAATGAATTTTATTTATATCTTTTCTATGATTTCAAATATATCTATTCTTTCTATCAATCTATTATCCGATAATTTGAGATTTATTTCCGAATAATAGATCATAAATAGATGAATCTATCTCTCTATATTATGATAAAGAATTCGTATTTCCTATATAGATTATCTTCAAAATTCATCAATTAAATTGAGAAATCTTCTTATTAATTCTCTTATCCCATCATCTTCCCTCTCTGCTAAGAATATAATTCTATTTTTATCTTTTGATAGAAAATACTAATCATATTATTCTGCCTCATCAATATATATTATTAATAAATAGTTCTTCTATATCCATCAGAAATCCTAAATCTCCGTGAATCTTGATTATTCATCTAGCTCGAATATTCCTCCTTCCAGAAATATATCCAATCTAAAAATATGTCCCTTCAATTTTTTCTATATCTCCGTTCTATTGATCATAGATTATCTGTCTCATATGATATTTCTCCATAATATCTATTTGTATTGAATTGAATATTTTTCAATTATAGAAAATTCTTTATCAATTTCTAATTTCCAAAGAAAAAGATCAGATTAGGAAATAGAACCCGTGTATATTTCGTATATCTTTGAGTATTTTTGGGCATGAAGGCAGCTCCAGAAGAAGGCATGTTGTTAGTTGCAATAACCCTGTTGGGCCAAAGGCGGCCCGACACTAAGCCAGACCCCCAAAGGGATCTAAAAATTAGATCCCCTAGGACCATATGGGAAATCATATGAGGATTCTATAGGGGTTATAATAAGTTTATATAGGGGATCTAATTTTTAGATCCTCCCAGGGGTCTGGGTAAGCCAGATGGTAGTCCAGTGTTGGACATGGAAAATCTGGCGAGGTTGACTCAATCAGAACCTAGCTTGCTAAGAATGCCCTTCTTGTGAAACACAGCCTCAATATTCCAGTATCTTGGCCACCTGGGACAAATGGCGTGGAAGAACCGCTTGCAACCCCTTGGCACTGTCGTAACGCCTTGACGATTTACGAAGTGATGACTGACCAACGATCATGAAGACCCAGTACTTACTTCAAGAGGGCGATTAACATATTGGGACCAAAAACGGTAAGAATTGATCGACACAAGAGTCTGTATCACACACCAGTTGTCTTGACCGGACAAAGCTCTGCTTCAAACGAAGGTGCCTCGCCGTGGCCATTCTGCCGAGCAATGTCCAAAGCAGTTCCAGAAGTCTCGATGACTTCGCTGCCTGCAAATAGACACAGCTGACCTACTCAGTTAAGCTTATAGGCCCCGTTTCAGGGTCAACATGCGCTGCAATCTTTCACCCGCCCGTGTTGCTGACAGTGAGCCCAGTAAGCTAGGGCAAATTTGAGAACTGACTCTGAGTCAAAGCCAGCAGTTGCCTGTGATAAGCTAAGGCATCCACTTTTTTTTTCAAGGAAAAACCGGTGGCATCATCAGTAGTAATGGCAAGGTGTTGATGCAAAAATTGTGGCTTTTCAACATTGGGGCCACCTGGAACCCTAGACATGAGTACGGATTACAGATTGATCCTGGGGATCGCTCGCCCTTGCGGAGTATAGCCCCGCTTATGTAGATAGAATATGGGGTATCTCAGGATCTTATGAGAAGATACTATACCCAAAGCCAGGCTCTATCTACTTAGGGGGGAATAGATACTGTAGTCACAGAGAACTTGCTTGGAGAAACTCCTAAATTCCCCTGCAAGCAACCATGCTTTCCTGCAATAATGTGAGTCGGCGTGTTTGTCATCAGGAACAAGAACGCTGGAGAACATCAATCCCCAAGCCAGGAAATGTCCGCCAGCAACAACTCCCGGACCAAGAGGTACCACACTATCATTTATCATGACCAGCAAGTTGTCATCTGCTGCATCTTCAGATAGTTTGTCGGGGCAATTGCTACTGCACCGTCAGCCAATCCAGGCGCCATGTTGGTGAAAATCCTTTCTCTCCTTTCACTTTCCTACATTCGCAGAAGTCCAACCCATTGGATGTCGAGGGCTGGCAATACATGCACTTTCCTGCAGCAACGCAGCGGTCCTTCCATTCTTGCATGGCGGTCTGCACCATGGTCCAGCAGAAGCCTGCACACCTGGTTTCCCACACAAGACGCTTGCTACAGGCTACAGTAGCGCAGGTGCCATGATGCCCGACCCACACCTCCAAGTAGCCAAACCGTGCAGCAGCCATCAGCGGCGTACGCCCTGCTTCCAAGGCAAAAGATTGCGCCAGAGAACACAGAGAATATTCATGCTGCCTTGGTTGAAACATGCCGCAAGCCAAGCTTGCGGAAGACAATGAAAACGATGTCGCACAAACCTTTTCCACTTGCATTGTCGTCGTAACTGGTGCAGTTCCTGCAAAGGCGCATGCAGTTCCAATACCTCCTAGGGAGGTGCTATACATGACCGCCGTTGTTCCGCCCATCCACACAAGATGTCTATGCGCTGCACACTCACGCAGAAGAAGCTGGCATGAATTCTGAATCATTACACCAAGATGTGGGCGGCCTCAACTTCAGCTTCGCCTCCTTCGGAGGCAGCCGATAGATCAGAGTAATTAGGTGAGAGCCAAAAGGGGAGCCATGCTGGTTGCATGGATTCAAATACTTCATTCTGAGCATATTTTAAGATGCATGAAGGCGTGCTCAATTCGGAAAACGCGGCATCATCTAGATCATCTAGCTCATAGAAACGACCAAGTTTACCACTCCACTGCCTCAACTCGCTCCCTCCGCACGTGCTGCACCGTGTGCAGAAGTACGTGATGAAGATCTTGAAGGCTTTGTGTCTGGATCTTTGGGCTGGCTTCCTGCTTCTCAGCTGAAATTGATGGCTGCAGGTGATCCGTTGATCTGAGTGCCCTCTCCATGCCTAATCTAAGGAACCCAGTTCGCTGACTATTGGAGTTGTTCTGAAAAATCCCTGTCCTTGGCCCATCAGAAAAAGACATAATTCACGAAGTACGTCGTGCAATTGCGAGAACTCCTCTGCGGTGAACTTCCGCAGGTCCACAATATCCTTGACGGTTGTTTGATTGGAACCGCGCAGCGTCAGAATGCCTCGCATGAAATCCGGAAACGTCAGCGGCTCTCCATCCTCGAACAAAAGCTTTCCTTGGCAAGCTATGTCCAGCTGCTCAGCACTTGATTACCCCAAGAGTTCTCATTCAACTTGGACCCTTGCAAGCACTAGCGAGCAGCAGATGACACATAGAAATGCTGAGCCCTTTGCCGTAATCCAGGGCTGCATCGACGTCCACGCCCAGGCTCGTCAAGGCCGTGACCGCCTCCGGCTTGGAGAGGACGTTCACAAACTCCTGCTCGGAGATCCGGTTATCACCGTCTTCATCTGCAGCTCCTCACAGGGAAGGGTCAAAGCGGCGGTGGTGCTGTGGCAGTTTTGGTGCTGCCTGTTGGTGGTGGCCCTGGTAACTAGGAGAGACACCAACACCACAAAACATGCGTCTCCTTCCAAACACATGGGCTTTTCTTCTCTAACGGCATGTGGGCGACCGAAATGATTATGAATCCAAAGTTTTTCTTGTGGTATCAACATCATGATGCAAGTCGTGGAAACTTAGACCGCGGCAGCAATAGTCACTAGTGTCCTTGGCGGTCTAAAGCAAGAACATTTGAGACCAAGGAATATATGGAGTATGACAGTGCTCGCAGGGCCATCTGGCCATCCGCCAGTTACTGCGACTGGGCTGCAGGGCACTGCAGGGACCCGCATACTTCTGCTGGCGGGTATGCCTCCTAGGAGAACCGCCTTCTTGCTCATAGCCTTTGTTCTGCACACAGGTTAACATGCTAATTACCCAGCTCCTTTGCTGATCAACTCCCACAGTGCTTTCTTTGCAAAGTCGACATCCATCTGCTCACGCTCAATCTCAGACACGGTCTTGATGGCCTCGACCAAGACCCCCAAGAGCATGTTCATCACGGTCAGGGACCCAAGGAAAATGAACACGACCACCAGAAGAGCCATTTCCCAGCTTTCCTGTGCAACCATTGTATAAAAGAATTCCTGGTCAGGAAAGATGCAATACAAGATGAGGCTACTGACAGTTCTTCCAATGGAATCAAAGAAGGCAAACTCACCGCCTTTCTCAGCAAGAGTTGTGCCACGGCTGAACTGCATGAAGGCGACAGAGAAGACATAGGTAATGAGCAACAGCAGGACCAACGTGAAAAACACTGACCGACAAGCTACCATCATCCCCTTGATGAGGATCATAAGCTCCGGCATGAATCGCACCAAGCGAGCCATCCGAGCTGTCCGGAGGACGCGCAGGACACGAGCCACACGCAGCACTGAAGTGCCACCCACGATGCCGCCTCCACCGCCATTTGAGAAGACGTAGACCAAGGCCATGATCCAGGTCTCAAAGATCATGAGACTAACGAGGATCAAGTCAAAAACGAACCACGGGTCTTTGAAGGCATACCACGTGCGAGTGTAGACCAAATACCTAATCAGCAACTCTACCGTGAAATACGCACAGAAGAGGTTCTCCACAACAAAGAACCCCGGCTCTGCCTCAACAATAATGTCTGCATCATTGAATTCTATGTCAATTGAAAGCCATATGGCATTGAGGAAGATCACTGTCATTGTGGTCCGCTCCAACAGAGAGCTTTTGGCAATCTTCGGAAGGATCCCTTCGGACTTGAGAGTTTCATTCTGCTTCTCCATCTCGAACTCTTCTGCAGCCCGCTTCCGGACTTGACTCCTTGCGAGATCCGCATTGAACTGAGCCAACCTCAGCCATGATATGTGTGCGTGTTGCGAGGTACTGAAAGCACTTCTTGGACATGCACCGCTGCTTTATCATGCAGCCAAGGAACATTCCCGCCTCTTGAAAGGCCTCTGCTTCCCTCTTTGCCTGGGCCTTCTCAGCCTTGGTCAAATGGGCCACGACAAGTGACTCCACAGAACCTTCCTCCTCCGTCTTGGAGCTTCTCCTGGAGTTCGAGCTTCTCTTGACGGGAAGTGAAGGGGGGTTCTCAGTCTGCGGCACATTTGGCAGCTGAGCCATTTGAGCCTCGAAGTCATGAGTGCTGGCTGAGCCTGTGCCTGTGCCTGGAAGAGCGCCAGTCTTTGGGATCCATGACATTCTTCTCTTCCGCTTCTGATCCAAGGTCTGGAGATGTGCGAAAGGAGTAGGGGTCAAAGATGACTTGGCCTCCTTGGAAAGCTGTCCCTTGCCGCCAAAATCGTCTTCTGCATCTGGGCCTAGCTTGCCAGGGAGCCTGACCCTAACTTCCTTGGATTTTAACCTTCTCTCAGACTTTGCCTCAGCCTCAGCTTGCACCAAGCTTGGCAATTGCTTCACCTTCTCCATCTCCCGATCAAGCATCTGCAGAGTCAGCCTTTGATTTGTGACCAAGGCTGCCCTGAACGATGTCAGGCCCTCCACCATCTTGTCTACTTCAGCCACTGAGTTCTTGGAGTTTTTGGACGGATCCCGGCTGAGCACAACCCGGTCTGTTGAAAGACCTAAGTCTGCAGGTGGCTTGGGAGCAGTGAAGGTCTCAGCATCGGCATCATCTGACGAGCAGTCTGAGGATGACGAGTCAAACCCCAAAGCCGAGCCCGAACCAGACTCAGGTTCCTTGCCTGGCTTCTTCCACGGCTCTTCCTTTATGCAATCCTGTAGCAGCTCTTCTGTTTTAACGCGCATTGAAGCGTCTGGAACTTTTGTGCCCCTCATGTGCACGTAGCACCCTTCCAGGGTGCAGCTTCTGCCAAGCGTTCAGCCACGACTATGCGGCTCTGGCGTGTGGAAGGAAACTTACTTACGACTGAAACAACAACTGTTGTCTCCGTCTGGGTGGGTTAGGGTTAAGCTACTCGACCTTCCGTAACGTTGAAGAATAAGCCACAGCTTGCTGAAAGCGGGTGGGCTTCGGCCAGGGATGGCTTGGGGAAATGAGTTGAAATGAGTTGAAATGCTCCGCTTTGTGCTTCATGCAGGGTGCTGCCTCTCATGAACGTTCACGCCTTTGCTCGAATCTGAACGCTGCAGAAAGTGACAGAAAGGAGATGTTGAAAAACGTGCGATACGCATCAGACGCATCAGGCAGCCGGGGGCTGGGATTGTAAGAACAATCAAGACGTGCTCAAGCAAGTCGCCGCGTGCCCCACGTACAATGCTGGGGAAGCTGCCATCTGCGGCTGCCGTGTTGACAGCATTGGACCTGGACACTTGAAAGAAAAGTGGCGACTATCGTAACATGCCAGTCTCATAGTCCGTGCTTTTGCACGCCAAGCAACCCCTCGTCCAACAGGATGGTGACTACCTGGTTTCTGAAGCGCCCAAAGGCTGCACGCAACGGCGAAAAATCATGCCACAGCTGCCTCCAAAAATCCTTCCTGGGCCGCAAGTAGCAGCGCCGTCTCATGGGCCTTCCGAAGTCAGCTTCAACTCATTGATGGCTGGCGCCATATCTTCAGCTTTGCATCTGGTGTCTTCTCATGAACTTCCACGGCACCTTGTTGCAAAGATCAATGGAAGCTTTCCTGCCCAGCAGCAGCCTGGTCAGGTCAACTCAGGCAGTTGCGTATATGCCGAAAAGCCATTCAAGCCATGCAGGAAGAGCCGGAGAGCTTCCGCAAACCCAAACTGCGCGGCCATCATCAAAGGAGTGTGGCCTTGAAAGCAACAGGCAGGGAAAGGCACGGAGCTTATGCTTCCAAAGATCCACACTTTATGGGCTTGCTATACAAAACATCGGCGGCCCGCACCATCACGATCAGACGCGTCAATCGCTGGGGCCTTTGGCCACGATTGCTGTAAATCGACTGGAAACGATGTAGACATCTAATTACAAGCCATTGCATGCACTACTGTCAGCATGTTTGTTCTTGGCAGCCTCACTATTTCTCCCACAAGTGTTGCCATAGCTGTAATGTATGTCATGTCTGCTATAGCTGTGGGAAACCAACTTCTATGATGGCAATCCGGAACTCCTCAAGCACCCTAAACCCCCAAAATAATAGTTTCCATTTGATGTTCCGTTATCCCAATATAACTCCAATATAACCCTACTATTACCCCAATGGGGTAACAGCCAGCTTGCGCCTCGGCGCTTGTCAAAAGGAGCTTTGCCACCTCATCTTACCAAGGTGCGTCTCTCCCCTGCCGGAACTTAGCGCCCCCGCCACAAAGCTGCCCCATCGCATTTTCCCCCTCCTTCTGGTGTGGGCTCTCTTGGAAAGTACCGCGCAGGATGGACGGTGTTCAAATTTGAGCTGAGGGTGTTACGATTCAAAAACAAGCCAAAAACAACACAAGCAACTCCCATGTAGAAACATATATCTTTGGGAAAGCTACTGATGTAGTTACAGTCGAGACTTCCGTCAGGAGTAGTGGCAATAGTAGCAGGAATAATTATACGAATGCTAATACATAATCATCATGAACACAGGGATTCAGACGAGATCCTTGCACTGCATGCTTAAGAGGGCCGCAGGGGGGGGGGGGTTTTGAATGTGAAGAAAGATTTCCGGCATCGCGCATAGTGCGGCTGTTGGGTTATCAGACAAATCTAGTATACGAGTGTAAGGAGTTCACATATTCGAGCAACACGGCAGCCTGCAGCTTGAGAGGCTCACACCTTCCTAGGAGACAACTAGTTTGCAGTTTCTTACTTCTTTCGAGACTAGGTTCTTGACCGAGGAATAGCAAAGCACTAGTGATGACGTGTATGTCTTCCCTTGTAGTTGCAGCGTGCTGGCCTCCACGTGACCGCGCTTGGCAGCGCAAAGAAGCGGGGTTTCGCCAGTGGAGCTGTGGCCTTGAGTGCTCTTTGCCTTGCCTCAGCGTCGCGACATGCCGTGCTGCAGTTCGGCTTGCAAGCAGCAAGTGCGCATGACAGCCTTGACTTATTGCAGCTTGGGCCAGGGCTCTTGAGCAGCAAGCGCAACACCTGCGACGCGTTTGGATTTGGGAGCTTTCCATACACGGGCCTTCCACTCTCTCTTCAGCGCCAGGACACTCCAACGTGGCCGCCGTGAGATGCCATCAGAACAGGCGTCCTGCGTCAAGGACGAGTGACCAGAGGCATAGTGCCTGGAAATTCACTCATCTGAGCTGTTGTTTATGCACCCGATTCTGAAATCCAAGTCCAGCCCAAGCGATCTGGAGTCTCCACAGACCTTGGATGCCCAGAACTCTGAAACCGCTCAAACACACAACCTTACCATGGTTGATCTAGAAGTGCTTGTAAACTCACCATACCAATTGACTGATGGCCTGCACTGGAACTTGCTTAAAGAGCGGCTGAGACTTCCCTTCAAGAAGCAAGAGCTGCACGGTCTCCGTGTCACCTGCACATATGCACTGTCAACTCACTCAACTGCACAGAAAGGAAGCTTGGTAGCCAGCATTGGTACCGATGAGTTACAGTGGACGTCAGTGTGGTGGCATGCCACTGGAGCTTACCAACCCATGGGGTCCAAAGACCCTAAGCGTGACACCAGGCGTCAACCTGCTAGTATTACGCACTTGCCCACACCACAGCCTTTGCCCGCCGCCAAGTTCAAAGGCGTCTCTCCATCGTTGTTTGAGATGTCCACGGCCTGGCAGAGGTTTTGAAGGAACATAAAGGGTGCCGCTCTCCGTCTTTCTGCTTCCGAGGCGCGGCGGAATGTCCAAGCAGCAACTTCACAATGTCAGCACCTGAACGCGGCATGGGGAAATCAAGCTTCACCTAGTTGCGCGCATGCCACTCTCTGTTGCTGAATGGCGGTGGTCTCACTGTCGCTCTAGTGCAGATGGCAGAAAAGATGAGCGCAGTGACTGGAATGGCTGGAGTGCACTTTCGATTAACGGGTGGCAAGGAACGACCTTTGTGTACCGCACACAGAAGAGGCGTCTCACCATCTGAGTTGGTCTGCTGCGGTGATTGCCTGAGTAGCGGGTATGCGCACATCACGCACAAGCACCTCTTTGGGAGCCCTGCTGGATCACTGCCGAATGCATAGCTCAAGCTGTTTGACACAATGCAGCGTTTCAAGAGACCTGCGAAGGCTGTGCTTGCAATGCAGTGCCGAGTGCAGCTTTGTTGCAAATTGGTTTTGGTCAGGAGGTAGTCCACAACCTCTGTTCTTCCTTCCTGGTCAAAGCCACGGCTAGTCCGCGGGCAAAGAAGTCATGTTCCGTGCTTATGCAAGGAAGGTAGTCTGCCTTCGCAGCCAAGAGCAGTGGTGTATTGCCTGACATGGGCGTCTGGAAGTTCGCATCTTAACAAAACCTAGCTCAAGTCCGGCCAACAACACTGCGACCGGATTCCACGCATTTTTCACTGCTTTGCTGATGCTAAGTGCACATTGACTTGAAAGCCTTCGCCGTCCACTGCATCCATGCAAGATGCCTGCACATCTACTTTGACTTGTAGAGGCATGGGTAGTGGTGGTGGTGGTGGTGGTGGTGGTGGTGGTGGTGGTGGTGGTGGTGGTGGTGGTGGTGGTGGTGGTGGTGAGCATGCTCATTCTGCCTTGCCCTCCTCTACGAGGCATTTCACCACCTCCAGGTAGCCTTCATCCGCTGCCCTTACAGCATGTCCACGGCACAGTTGCGCCAATTTGTTAGTTGAGCGCACTGACAGCATCGCGTCTAAGCCGTCTGCAAGTGTAGCGGTGTAGACCTTGGCGGTAGCGACTCTTGTAACTAGTAAAAACCAACACGCCCGCAAAGTCGCACAGCCATTACGAGGGGTGCCCGACCCTTCTTCATCTGGAAGATCTGGACTGCATTCTCGGCGTAGAAGTTTCCTGAAAGCACTCGGCCGACAAGCCATCCAGCTGCTGCAAACAAGTCATGCTTCACGCCCTTGGCTGCTCACTATAAATAACCCCGATATTCCCTATATAACCCCTGAATAATCCCTACATAATCCCTATAGTTGGCGACCCTTTCCCTGCCTCACCAATTCAATGTTGCCTTCCCAAGCTGCGTCATGCAGGGTTGCGTCGCGTCCTGCCTGCATCTACTGGCTCATGCGATACTTCCAGGTGCTAAAGCTTACACCATAATCAGGGTGATTTAGAACAATTCCCAAGTTAAGCCACTATTCCCTATATAATCCGCCATTTAGCTTGAGGTCGCTGTAAATTGCCCAGCATCACTGTCATGATGCCAAGGTTCTCTCCTGAGCGCCCTCGCCCTTTTTTCTTGCCTGGGCAAAACAACCGCCAACAACAACGAAGCAGAAAGCCAATTGGACCATGATGCCTTCAACTTTATACATACCGTAATTTGCTCTATTATACTATAGTCGCGTCCATGTCCTTTTCCATTATCCCTATATAACCCCAACCGTAAACACTAATACAATATGGCAGTTCCCATTTTCCATTATCCTTATATAACCCCAACCCTAAACCCTAAGCCCTAAAGTATGACATAACATAGTAGTTCCCATTTTCCATTATCCTTATATAACCCCAACCCTACACCCTAAACCCTAAACTATAATACATTATCCCTATTTAACCCCACCCCCAAACCCTAAACTACAATATTACATAGTAGTTTCCATTTTTTCATAATCTCTATTTAACCCCAACCCTAAACTATAATATAATATGTAATATAGTAGTTTCCATTTTCCGTTATCCCTATATAACCCCAACCCTCAACCCTAAACCCTAAACTATATAATATGATATAGTAGTCTCCATTTTTCCATTATCCCTACCTAACCCCAACCCTAAACCCTAAACTGTAATATAATATCGTGGTCTCCATTTTTCCATGATCCCTATCTAACCCCAACCCCAAACCCTAAGCCCTAAAGTATAATATAATATAGCAGTTTCCATTTTTCCATTATCCAAATTTGACCCCAACCTCAAACCCTAAACTATAATATAACATGGTAGCTTCCATTTTCCATTATCCCTATTTAACCCCAACCCTAAACCCTAAGCCCTAAAGTATGATATAATATAGTAGTTCCCATTTTCCATTGTCCCCATATAACCCCAACCCTAAACCCTGAACTATAATATAACATAGTAGTTTCCAGTTTCTTTTCCGTTATCGCTAAGTAACCCCAACCGTAAACCCTAAACCCTAAGCCCAAAACAAAAAAAACTAAGTCTACTTTCCATTGTCTTTCCATTGTCTTTTCCACTATAACCCCAACCCTAAACCCTAAACTACAATATAACATGGTAGTTTCCATTTTTCCATTATCCCTAAATAACCCCAACCCTCAACCCTAAACTATAATCTGATGTAGTAGTTTCCATTTCTTACTTGTAAGCTCCCAGCTGACTTGGGCGTCGTTGGCCGGGAGGCCGCGGAGATAGGAGCCTCTTTGAAAGTGCTCCGCAAAGCATATTTCGATGACTTATGGTATTATAGCAAAACATTAAATTAGAATATGGTATATTGGCATTAGGGTAGAATATTATGGCATAATAATGTGAGATATTGGCATTATAGTACAACATTTTCGTATAAACTGGTAAATTATTGCATTTTATGGCACATTATAGGGAACAAGTACCTAGGGGTTACATATTGGGGTAATGGAAAAGAAAGTGGAAACTTCTGTTCAGGGCTAGGGCTTCATATAGGGAATAAGGGGACATATACCTGCCATAATGGAAAATCAAATGGAAAATGAAATGGAAACAGGGTTAACAGGGGCAAGAGGGTTATAAGAGCTATAGTCAAAACTCCTAGCATCCCCTTGATAACCCCTATAGTAGTCCCCCATGTCATCTTTTTCCTATTGCAAACTCGTGCTAAATTGACAAAGAAGACTTACCGGAGTACACGCCGCTTAGGCCTCGCACGGCCCGGGCATGGCTCACAAAACTTTACAGGAACAGAAACTGTTCTGGCACGCTTGCCACAGGCAATACCCATATCATCCCCTATGTAACCCCTTTAAGGAGCTCAGAGTATAGCTCATATGGGATAATATAGGGAGGGCAGTGGTTCCTGCCTGTTTCGGGGCGCTTTCCAGGGCACAGCAGGCCCCCATGGCTGGAACATATTGCGACAAGCTCGAAGGATTTGTTATCAATTATAGTCCCCCTTAAGCAGATAGAATATGGCTCTGGGTGATGATAAGATCCCCTTTTCCCCCATATTCTTTCTACTTATGGGAGACTATATTCCTTAGACGAGAGTTATACAGCCCAGGTCAGTGTGCCCTGAGCCTTACGCATTCTAAAGGGGGAGAACAGACACAAATTGTGAACAAGCCAGGCAACACTTGCCGACTGACCAAATTACCGCATTCTGCTACTCTAGTCGAGGCTTTAAACTGGATGGCGGAAAAGCAGAGAGCAGGCTCATGTGGATGTGTATGAATATGCCTTGGCAGCAGGCCGCGCATTCAAGCACGTCAGGTCTCCGAGCAGTGTCAGCAGAGGGTGAGACATGGTGAGACTTGCTGACACGATGCCTGATGGAGGTGACACACTCGCGCGACAAGCTGCCATGTAAACGTCAAAGTAAACATGCCTCCCTGCAATCACTGAGGTGTTCTCGGCTGCGCTTGTCTCCGGTGAGATCACAGAGGAAACTGAGTATGCAGTCCTGGCAGGTAAAGCTCAAGACAAACAAAAGGGCTGCAACACCTTCACAGCACAGGCCCGGTCATCTACCTGACATCTTCAAGAGGCACGCTTCGCTAAAGCTGCCGTGGCCTTTCGTCGACTCGTACATGCCTGGTCCCACCTGGAAACAGCCGGCATCCGTGGCCACATTGTTTCAAAGGCATCAAAAGCAAATGCCTCAGGCGGACTACTGAGCTCGACTTGAAGCGGGTACCTGCATGTTACTGTAGCTGAGCTTTTCTACCTGATGTTACTCTGCCCGTGAACTTGCAAGCAACCCGGAGCACTTGCGCGCATTCTCCTTGCCAAATCTCCACCTGAAGCAGCTTTCATGACTCCCGAGTCGCTTGATCCTACTTTTGGGCCGTGGCTTTGCCGGGGCTTCAAGTGATTCAAGTGCGGCATCCACAGAAAGGAAAGGATATACGATCGCAACTTCAACAGACATCCCTGGGGGAGCCACGCAGGTTTGTTCTGGTGGTGGCTTATGATGGCTAGGTCCTCTCATGGCATCAAGCAAGCGCATTCGCTCAAGATATCCAAGGTTTCAAATCTTATTGCAGGAGTCCTTGGACACCCTGTCCCACGCATGATCTGGTCCAGTGTAGCCAGGACCATTCAATGAAGGCCCGACGATCTGACACGCCATGGTATGTAGCGTTTGTCAACAAAACCAATGCGCAGGTGCAAGCTCCAATCACACTCTCTGCCCCACTCCCCCTACTCCATAGAGGGTGAAAGGCTCGCTTTGCCTTGGCAGCCGGCTTCTTCAGGCCGAAGACGTACGAAGGCGACTGGCAGCACTGTGCATTGACAGCTGGGGCCGTAACTCAAGCATATGGGAGGCAGCAGGCTAGCAGGAGCACAAGCAGATGCAACAGTATCATGTCTTTCAGACTTTGGAAAGGAAAATTGGCCCACCCCCTACACCCAGTCAACAATGTCAAGGATCTGGATATGGATCTTGCAAAACTGCAAGAGGCGGTATACTGATTTTGCAAGCGGCGCTGATAAAGAAGAGGGGGACAAGGACAAAGATGTCACCAATCAAACAGGACGCAAACCGCACAATATGCAGCGACATAGCCAAGCATGAAACATCATGATAGGCACGGCTGGTGGCAGCTGTGGCCATAAATGATGATAATTGTGATGATGACTCTGCTCATGAATGTGTCCTAGTCAAGGCTACATTGATCGACAGCAGGTGAAGACCCTAGCAAAACCGCGTATGCCATTGACAAATAAGATAATGTTATGGCCATGCTTTCGATGATGCCGATGCTGATGCTGAATCATGCAGAGCTTGAACAAGATGCTCGAAATGATTGGCTTGGTGCTTTGACAGTGACGTTGGCGATTCAAAGAAGAGGAAACTGGAATAGCTATGCGTCCAGAAGCCGAGAGAACATGATGTCGGAGGTTGTGATGCTGGTCTTGATGACAAGAAAGTGACGACAACGTGGCGATGCTGATCATGAAGGATAAGGATGATTGTGGCCATCGTTGTGGTGAATAATTTGATGGTTCTTATTACGAATAAGCCTATGCTTATGGTTAATTACGATGAATACTGCTGTGAATGCTTTCAATCCAGACACCACCCTCTGAACCAAACTCACTTGCGCTGCTTTGCAGACCTCCTTTGACCCAACTGCCATTGGTCATAACACGTAATATGTTTGAGATCCCGTCTGCCTCTCTTACAGCACGAGGCAATCTTCTTGGCTATTGGGGTCCGTGTCAAACACGCTGCAGGGACTACACGCTGCCGAATGAGCAATCTGGCAACATAGCAGCAGGCAGAGGTAGCATGCAGCTGGAGGCACGCGATACCACAAGTAACCTGGAACGGGCCTTCTTCAGGAGCCGTGATTGCTCTTCATGGCCTGCCACTTGGCTTGACGTTGCAGGAGCTACTCGAAAGTAGGCTTTCATGCAAGAACTTAAGCGTGGGATTTATTGGACCTTGGAAAATCCCCCTGAAATTCCGGGAATCTCTATGGATCTCTGTGGCATTCATCCTCGCTCTCGACATGTTTCTCCGCACGCTTAGCACCAGTCAGATGCATTGATCTGCAACTTAAGTTCATCGATGCATGTCAAGGGCTGCATCCACAACTTAGATGTGGTTTCTCTCGAAGCGACCGTGCCGTGCTGGCTGCTCCACAATGCACATCCCGCTTGGGTTGGCTACTTAGTGATGCGTTTTTGCCTCCTCGTGTCAAAGGAGTTCAGCACGAATTTGAGGCGTGGCAAGAGATCTATGCATCAAATGAAGTCCATGGCCAGCAGGTTTGAGCTGGACCCCTCGCGAACGGCATCAAGTTGTCCTCATCCAGACCTTGCGAATATGCCCACTGCCTTCTGCTTTGATGATTGGCTGCGAATGCCGTGTTCTGTTCGGGCACGGTCTCCGCGATGACCCAGAACTTGCCGCGATGGGAGCGGAGCAGACCTCCACAGATTCTCTGAGCTTCTGCTTCGCACTGGAAGGTGCGAGCCTTCTCTGCAGAAAGCCTTTTCGTGGCTCTCGTACTCGGGGAGCTTGGTCGATTGCAGCTGCAGCTTGCTCAGGATGGTAGCAAGTCCTCGCTCCAAGACAAGGGGTATGCTTCATCGTTTGGCACTTGGAGACATGTTGTTGCGAGACACCGTCTGACAGCAAAGGCCTCACTCATCTCCACCATGTCAGGAGTCTCCAGCATCGGGTGCATCAGTTGCCTCAGACTTTAAATCAAGAGTGGGTAGCATGAAAGCATAGCCTGCAAGAACTTCTGATCACGCACTCTTGCGTGCCCGGCCTCTGCTCCGGCGGCTGGGGTGGTGGTTCTGGTGCCGACAACGCTGGATGCGGCCGCAGTCGAGGACGCAGGTTGGAACCGTCCACTAAATAGAAGAGGTCACGGACATCTGCAAGCAGCGCGCTGACAACCTGCCACATGCTGCTGCTGCACGCTACTTCTACACTGCAGAATACAGAAGCCTCCCGCGAGCTTTGCAGCAGCCTTTCAGCATCTGCGCCTGTAAGATGGACCGCGGGCACATTTTGGAATATTGAAGTGAAAGCTAGAGTACGCATTACACTCCAGCTGCAGCAGTGCCTGCATCCTCGAGTGCGTTGGCTTCCGGCGATCCGTGCGCGCCCGTAGGCAAGGAGCTACGAGCTTCCTGGAGGCTCTCCAGACTCCCACCTGCAGGTGCTTGTTTTCAGCACAAGCTCAGCAAGCTAAGCGTCCCAAGCCCGTGCCCCTTTCTCGGAGTCTCCAGCCTGCGGCCTTCAAGCGAAGTGCGAGCTCGGTGAATGCCTCTGCCAACTTCTTTTGATCATCGCAGAGCTCCTCTCCACCAATGCGCTCGAAGTAAATCAGAACTGTAGGAAACACCAGACAGCATCGCCCGCACTGCAAAGAACCCTGCAGATTGGATTCTGGTCGGCGTCCTCTATCTCAAAGTCTAAACGTTTCACAACTGCAGGGCCCGGAGCGGGAAGCGAGTTGGCCTGCAGCTGCGGCCAGTGCATAGGTGCGAGCTGTTCTAAAAGGCCGAGTCGGCTGTTGCATACCAAAACACAGGCATTCAGGTCTACATCAACAAAACACCGCCTGCCGCAGAAAGCGAACAGCTTCCTCTGACGTCTGGTGCAGTGCAAACCAGAATTCGGCCCGATCCTGGCTGGCGACGGCAGTCCAAGTGCAAAAAACAGGTCCTCTCTCGTCATGGAATGTATGCTCTGCTTGATACTGGTCGAGGCAAGCTGCGCGTCTCAGCTTGGTGAGCTGCTCGCTCACCTGTCCAACCCGAGTGACCAATTGCTTGACGGAGGCGATACGTGATTCGGCCCGTGGATCCTGCGCATTGCTCTGCGAGGGGGATCAACCACTCCACTAGAAGCGCTTCGGAACTGCGCACACCAAGGGGACCACACACAGCCATGTTTCCTCCTGTCCCTGCAACAGTGAATGTCGCGCAGCTTGTTCCAAGAGAAGAAGCATGGCCTGACGGTACCAGTAGGGTAGGTGAAAGCTCTGCTTTGGAGAAACTAAGCAACGGCCAATTCATTGAGCTCTGATGGAGTCTCGCTGGCTAAGTCCTGGGCCTCATGCAGTTCCACGATGCCTTCGATGCCCTGATTCACGGCCCGCTGCATGTCCTGCCAATACGAGCAAAAGATCTGTGCCTTAGAGCCCGACCCGGATCGCAGCGCGCCTGCGCCCAGAGCCAACTTCGACTGCGTTGCACCACCAGGCTTTCCAAGGTAGCCTCCGCCAGCTTCGGATCCGGCAACCCTACCTCCAGCAGCTCAGAGACGAAGTTATTGCAAACGGCCCGGCACCCTTCGCAGTCCTAGCTACGCTTTACGCCCTTTACGCTCACCTCCTGGATGCGGGGCGCAAGGTGAGGCTCGTTCAGCACGACTACCGGCCTCCCATCAAGCCAGCTGTGAGTTCATAGCTGTATCAGGTCTCGTCTCGGCCCATGCAGTAGCATGCCGCTGCTTTCACATCCGGTGTCTCACGTTGTGCGTCTTGCAGCCGCGGAACTTTGATTTTGGTGCTGGTTTTGGTTCAGGCATCGTGCGAAGGTCGAGCGGTAACGGCTCCTCTTCAGCAGTGACTTAGTCGCAGGGGGCCATAATAAGTTGACAAGATGGCAATCCTGCTGACAAGCCCTGCATCTTCGTCGATGTTCCAGGATCTGCTGACGAGCTTCCTGGGCATGCTTGAAGACAACTCATATCCTGTGCCCTAGGATGATGTGCAGGCGGCTGGTTTCAGCAAATATTGCAAAGAGCCTCTCATCAAAGTCTGCATGTTGCGATTAAAAGCACCACGATGCCAGGCTTACGATTGTTTGGCTGGCGTTGCGAGTACAGATTGGCTACGACAGATGGGCTCCGTATTAGGAACAGCTGCACTCTCTGAGAAGAAGGTTCATGACATGCGGGCCTTACGTAGCTTTCATTCAAGTGGATCCACACCATGCATCCACAAAATGCTTGAGAACTGCAGCTTAGAGACTTCAATCGCACAGCGCTTGACCCTCTCGATGGTTTGCCGGAATTTCGCCTCTGCAGCCTCCATTGCCTTTCCATGTCGGAGCTCTGTCTGCTTCCTTAGCTGCAGAATCCAATACAGAACGTGGTGACATAGTGTGTGGAGATACTCTAAATTCGACTGGCCAGCAGGCTCCATGGCTTTGAAGGCGATTTAATTCAAATGAAGTGCCAAAGTATTAGGTTCAATGGCTCTGCTTGCAGCCTGCGTTCAGCTTCGCTGCCAACGCTTCCAAAGCAGCATCACGGCCTCAGTCCAGGACTTAGTGGAAGCGCGCTTAAGGGAGTTGATGTCATTGCGGTGCTGTCATTGAGGCCCTGGCTCTTCAACACTGTCTCGTGCTGGAACTTCCTCATTGCTAGAACAGTCAACTTTAAACTCAGCACCCTGCACCTGGAAGCCTTTCGAAGTCAAGCGAGGTGCAAGTCAGTGAGCTCGCCCTCGTGTCTTTCCATGGCCAGCTGATATTTCAGCTTGGCAGCCTCCAGCTCCTTCGTGAGCCTGAAGCATGGCATTTTTGTCAGTGACCCATTGGGCAGGATAGGCCGTGCGAGGTTTTCCGGAGCTTCTGCGGGTGTGTGAGGCCAGAGTTTCGAACCACATCTCCCATGTGCGGTCTTGCACAAGATGGGCAATGTCATACATGATCCCGGTTCTCGGTTCGCTAGCCACCACCATGGTAGACCCCCATCCCTTCCTCTTCAACAGTGTCAACAGGGTCTCCCGCCATGCCTGTAACTGTTGTCACTTTAAGCCCCTCGTGCTTTCGTTGCGTCTCAGAAGTCAGTCACAGGGATCAGGGTGGTCCTCATCGCGTCATCGCTTTTGAAGCCTCAGGTTGTTCTCGCAATTTAAAGGTAGTCACAGGGATCAGCTTGGTCCTCATCTTATCTAAACCTTCTATAAAACAATAACACACGTGAAACTGCAGGAAATTTGTTTTATGAAGTGTTCTAAACCCTTTGTAAACCGTTAAAACCCTCTATAAACCATCCATAGACCTAATGTCAACCACAAGACCCAGACCACAGGACCACCGGGGTTGGGGTAATAGATTATAAACGATCTACAAACAGCATAAACCTTCTATGTACCCTTGCTTAAACCACAAGACCCAGACCACATGCAAGCGGGGGCTGCGGGGCATGTAATAGTTTAACCCCAATTTAGAGCCAGAAGATAGCCACCACACAACATGTTCCCAACCCCAAACCCCCAAACACACCACAACAAGAGGGGAAATCTCAATTTCCCCGCTATTCCTCACCGAAAACCACCAGCCGTACCATAGGCTGGGTGGGGGAACCAATTGGAGGGGGAGGTAAATGGGGGGGGGCCAGTCGCGCCCGGATCATATATGAGCTATCCTAGTATCCCACTTCATAAGCCCCAAAATACTCCCCTATAGAATCCCCTATATGGAGTTTAGACTATAGCTCATACAGGCGGAGCAGACCAGAAGTCTGAGCGTGGACGCACACACAAATGGCAGACATGAAATTTTCTACCGATTTGACGAAAAGCTACATGTTCTTTGCTCGTGTTGGGAACAAGTAGTCATGCAAGCCATGGTGACCTATCTGCCAAAATGCCAGTCCTCTGAATGGCATTCTGCTCTCGCCGTTCAGAAGCCTCTTCGTTGATTTCCTGCTTCCTTTGACATAGTTGCACGAGTAGATCAGCTGGAATGATGGCAGCATGCTAGCAGCATGCTGTGTAGTGTTGACATGCTGGTCTTCGGAGACTACTGCTGGCGAGCATCTCCCTCATCCAAGTGTGCTCGGCCTCCCGTAACCTGAGGCTGGCGCTGACAATGTTGCTTGCAAGCATCC